GGGAAACTAAGAAATTTACCTTATTTTCCACTGAATAAACATGGCAAATATCCCACAATGCTTCTGACATACATTTAATGTTTAAAACATTAATATAACTTAAACTATTATAACATTTAAACAGGAAATATTACTAGCATACACAGAAACTGCAAGGAATAGCAATAAATGTGTTATCTTTTAATAACAGGAGTTACTTAGCCAGATTTGAATGGTATTGATCTCTTCTGCCTGCTAGAATCCATACATACTTTTTAATTGTATATTGATTAATATTTTAAAAAAGAATAAAAATTACGGCATTTAAACAATGTTTTGCAGTAGATACTGCAAAGAATAAATATAGAACCATAAGAAATTTAAATTTTGGATGTATACAGTGATAACATCTGCAGAGAATGTGACTTTTTAGGAAATGTATTGTTCATGGCATTGTGATACACATATTTTGTTTGAAGGAAATATGTTTAAGTTAAGTAATGAAATCTTATGAAAACTGTAGAAAATTTACATTCCTATTTTTGTGTCCAATTGTAAAGATTAAATTTGCTGATTTTGTTATCATCCTGAATAAGAAGACTGGAATTGGTCTTATTTCATTTCTGGAAATATTTGAGGTAAAAAATACTTCCTCTTCAAACAAGTAACAAAAGCTGTTTATTTATGCACCTCTCTATTCAAAATTATGTGTCTTGAAGAAATATTCTACAATTCGAATCTTACAACACAAGCCCCAGCTGTTTTTGTTAATGTTATACATGTGTATAGATAGTCATGTACCACACCTCAAAAGTGAAGAACCTAAACACAAATAATGTTAAAAATAAGTTATTGATACATTTTACTTGCATCATTTTACTAATATGATTCAGCTTTCACCTTCATCTTAAATAACAGTTAACTTAGAATTTGTACTGAACCACTAACCACTATAAAGAAACATTTTCAAACTGTACACTTGCAAAAAGGATAAAAATGTAATTAGCAAACAGAGTCATTCATCCACAGACAGTTTGTATCACTATTGTTACTTTTATATGTTTGTGTTGTTAATCTCATTTATATTGTGGCTTGGGCAACACCAAATGAGAATAATGGGACTGTCTTTCTCAAGAAGTGCAATACATAAGTCTAAAACAGTTTGGTGTTACTAACCAAGTAATCATAAAGCACCCATTTTGATAGACACTTCTATAAAAATATGTATATGGCACATAAGTAGGGAACAGTAATGCAAATTATCCTTGAGAATGTATGTACCTTTAATCTTAAAACCTTGCATACCATGCAGTGTATTGATATATAAAATCATGCATACAAAAAAAACTGTTTACACATTAAATAACACTTTGTGCCAAATGTGTTTTGACCTCAAGAGGTCATTATCAATGGCAAAACATTAATTCATTAGTCTGTCTATTAAAATAATACAATTCATGAAATGCATTTGGCACAAAGTGTTATTTAATGTGTAAACAGTTTTTTTTGTATGCATGATTTTATTTATGTACCATGTTTTCTCATATAACCCCCTGACATGGGAATCTAGGGGAGTAAGGTCTGGTAGCCACAGTGGCCAGATATGTGAATCACCACAACCAATCCATGTCAGGTATCTGCTCACTCAGGTACTCTGTCACATGTTAACTGAAATGTGGGGTGCCCCATCATGCTGGAAGTATGTCTGTAATTGTGTTTTGTGTTCAAATCATCTTCACTTTCTATCCATAGCTCCATACCATTGACAATCAGACATATGTTCACATGACATTTCTAAATGGGAAAGACTTCACGAATAAGACCCAGAAGTATTGACATAAAGCACCAGACATCTACATGCAGCAAAATTAAAAAGCAGATTACTTCATACTTTTACACTGTAATTTGTACATGATGAGAAATGGATTAATGACTTCAAACAATATGGACTTCAAAGTTTCTATCCGTAGGCTACTATGAAGTTTTTGCAGTTAGTAGTGTCTTAGGTGGTAATTTTTAGGAATTCTCTAACCTTGAAATTTGTGTCACCATGCACATTTAGATTACGCACATAAAGGAATTATGAGAAGCTAATTGTTTGTTACTGTGACAGGGGCAAATTTTTGGCTAGGTTATACTGCATTGTCAATAACATATTAGCTGCCTTCAATATTCAGTGATCTTTACCATTATGATAATTCAGAAAATTCAAATAACTGCACACCTGACTAATGCACTAAAAGGGACTAATCAGCACTGTAGGGATTATCAGGGAAGAGGGCATGGATTGATATGCAATTTGATCAATCTTGTTTGTGTAAACCTGTGGTCTTCTTAAAATCCACTCTCTGGCTTACATATTTTAATTTGTGAATTTAAAAAATTAACTATATTTTTACAGAATTGGTTCCAAGAACCTGCCACTCAGTCCCTATTGCTTGTCTTTTATCAGTGTGTAAGACACATTCCATTTTGAAGTGTCAAGTTCAACAGACCTAATCATGGATAACTGCTACAAATTTTAGATGTAATAGGCAAATGAAACAGAAGTGTTACATGTAATGCATGTATAACTTATAAGTACTCAATTTGATAGGTTCATATTTAAAATTACAGAATTTGATACAAGGCATGATTTTTCCCCTAATATGTTCTGCTTCGGTATGTCATTCCATCGTGTAGTTGGGCAGTACAGTTTCTTACTTTCTTTATGCGACAGTATTTATTTAACTTTATTAATTGTTATTTAATTCAAAAATATTAATGACTTTATGAAGCTACAGTCTTGAGAATTTTAGATCAAAGCAGAGAAGATTGAATACTTGGTATGACTAAGGCATAGAAGTACTGATAATATTACCAAATTGCTTGAAAATAAGACAAAAATTAACTTAAATGTTTAAAATTAATTTGACTATAATTCATATATTAGGAATACATGCCATGCAAGTATTTCAGTTCATTCAAAACCACTCATTTATGGACTGAGCTGTGATTACACTAACACTGTTCACTGTTAATTATAAATTAATGCTATCTGTAGATACGTTGAATACTGACATATTTTCTTTAAGTAAACTTTTTTTTAATTTTTCAATAACTAAATTTACATAAAGAAATCAGATTATGGAATTGTATAATATACAAACACTATATGGTGCAACATACAATAATTACACACATATAAAATAATTAGGTTTTAAATAGGATGTCTATTTACTCCATCTGAATATCTTTTGAAAACAAACAAGAACAGAGCAAACACAGCATAAACACCGTGCAAATACAAAATAACTGTATAAACCTTGTGCCTCAGTCATTTTATTGCTTTGTTCCTTCCTGTTCATCCTTTGTATGTCACATTTTGGCTTATAAATAAGTACTATGTTTTGGAAGTTTCTGGTGGCAATTGTTTATTTTGATTTGCACTGTTCCACACTGAATTTTACATGTAACTGCAACCTGGAAAGCACCCATGTTGATATCACTCCACTCATAAGAAAATGTGCTACTGATATGAAAGAACATACAGAAGTGAAAGTAAGTTAATGGAAATGTACAGCATGGACATGCGATAATCAGTGCCTCTTCATCCGCCTCTCTAGCTTCTTCTGCTTTTTCTCATCAATTTCTTGTGATGCAGGAGCTTGATGAAAGAACCATGGAGAAAGGAGACCAACCCACAGCAACCAGAAGCCACGAAATGGAGCCTAGAAAACACAAGCCAAAGAATAGCATTATACTGAACGGGATGCTACACTGCCATTATCATCACAAACATAAAAATGTTATCATCTGTACAAGCTTTCTTTCAATGACAAGAGTTTAATGAAACCACTGAATTACAGAAAAATTCTAGTGTTTCAATGATCTCACTTTACAAATTTAAAAAAAAAAGTTGTGCTGACAAGTCTGAGTCTTATGTATTAATCCTACTGAGGCTCATCTGATAATCAACATTCACAGTACCATCAATAAGAAGTCAGATCCTCTGTCTAATTTCTTACACAGGTCTATAAAGTAATTTTGCTTCATATTATTTTTTTCAACCCCCCCCCCCAAGAAGCAGCATTCAACAATCAACATAATTTCAATGTGATGATTGTTACAATTGAATAACCTATTTTATAAGGTTAGATAAATAAATGTTTGCTTTTAGTTTGAAACCCTAAAATTGTTTCGATTTTGGGTTGCATCTTGTATACTGGAAAATATGGTAACTTTCACAAGTCTATACTTTGACTACACTCAAGAATGTAAAGTGAATTTTATGCTTGTAAATTCAATTGAAAATCTAAGCCACCGCATGTTGAGTAATACTTGTGTCTTGAAAAAATGAACATATCAGGGGTCATTTTTACCTTTTCTTAAGTTGCATATAGCAAATCAGATTTATGCTTCATTGATTGGGGTTGGTTGATTGGAAACCCACAAAGCCCCCTGTGCAGTCAGTATGGCAAGGCACTTTTGGGTTAAGTTCAAGACTGCAATCCTTGGAACCCTCATCTGCTAGTTCCTTATCACTTTCATAGTATGATGACGCATAAATATATGCACCCATGCTCTGGCCAGGATAGGAAGAGGAAGGTAACAAAGAATAAGCAGCAGATACAAAATTAGGTGGACTTACCAACAACCACAGTAACCAAAAATAATTTGATATAAGAGATAACAGTTGGCATCCAGATGTTAATATGATGAGATCTTTCAAATGCCTGAAAATAAACATAATTAGGGTTTAACATCCATGTCTGATGTCAATATGTAACAGTGAACCACAGTGAAATAACAGGTTTAATAATACTATTAACATTATGTGTACAGGGTTTCTTTAATTGACACAGCTATTCAAATTAGTTCAGTGCTATTATTTGTACACAGTATGATTAAGAAATAAATGAACAAATAGCACATGCCTATTCAAGATTTCACAGTGACTTGCATAGTTCATTTTTACAGGAATAGCTGAACTTGGCTATTCGTTACATAGTAAATGGAGTAGATCATATTTGTTTGTTCAGCTGTACAGTTTATATACCTACATGCACATTTACAGAAGGCATACATATTCTGAGCTATTCACTACTAATGAAAACTGAAGCTTAACCAACTTTTCATGCATCTCACTGTTTATGTATAAGTATAAAATATATGAACATTTCTAATTGTTGAAGACTAATATTATTCCATAACAATAAACAACAATGGCAAAATATTTTCTAAGGTTTTGGGGATGTGAATTTTTTACTTTACTTAATTTATATAATTTTTCAGCCCTTACACTTACACAATAATATTATACTATTGTAGGCTATTGATGTTAGGAACAGCTCACACAATCAGTAATGCAGCCAAAACTTACTCTGCAATACCTCCTTCCATATTGAGGTCAACTCCACTGTCCAGAAGTTGTCCTGAGTCTGCATAATTTGGTTTTGCCATATATGCCATAAACTGAAAGCTTCCTACATATGCAGCAGCAGCAAATAAGAATAATATCTATAAAAAATACACAAATTCATATAAACTTTTTATTGAAGTTCAACATTTATATAATTTTTGTAATTTTTAGTTTTCATAAAATCATAATGTCAATAATTATGAATGCAAATGGATTTTGGCTACATTATTTGTTCAAATTCTTCCATATCAGTGAAGAATGCAATTGCCATCTTCAGGGTAGTTATCCCGGATAGGAGATAAGCAACAGATCTCAGGAAAGGAGAAAGTGAGTGGTTGATGTGCTGTCCCTGATGATGCCCACTAGGCTAGGTTATGGAGTTCTGAATAAGAAGAGAAGAAGTGAGGTGACCTATGATTTTATGAAATCTTCCTGGTTGACACATTCTTCCTCCTAACATAGGAAGACATACCAAAATTAAAAAGGAAAGGCCCTGCATTTTCTAATGTAGTAAAATGCCAACTGAATCCAAAATGCATATATGTTACACAAGTTTGAGATAGCAAAGGAGATGATAATATAAGGAAACCCTATCACACTACTATTACTACTGCTAGTTGTGGTAATGCTTATGATGAAAATGGGTCATGATGGACATGGAAATTTGTATTCTGATCACTGTCAATTATCCTATTATCACAAGAGTGCCGGTAACACAGATTATAGGAAATACTCAAGTAGAAAATATATGAACTCACAATCATTTGTATATTAAATGTATCTGAAGTAACACATGTTACTGTCAGATATATTCCATTTGCAACAAAAACCATATTTCGATAAAAATTTAAAGTTGCTGCATTTTCTTCGACAATTTGTTTCTGGCCTTTCGTTGCTTGTTTTCCTTTTTGTGGCTGAAATTAAAAAAGACAGGGTTAACGAACTTCAATATGAAGCCATGTTATAACTTGAAATAATGGCAAATAAAAGTGGTAAGTATGGTAAAAAATAAACATAGGCATACTTACTGCCATGTTATGTATTTGAAGAACCGAATAACTGAAATACTCCTCCAGATGAGATTACAAACTTCACTTTTACAATATTGTCATATTTTCATATAATACATAAGGTACACGAAATGGGTACTTTATCAAAGCTATAGCAGAAGAAATAACAGCAGACGCTCCACGTTGTGCTAGTCATGTATGCTACTGACCCTGCTGTTAATTTATAAAACTAAGCATCAGCTGTTATCTAAACACACGAATATCAAACTGCGGAGTGCTAGATTTCGTTGTGGTAAGTCAATAAGAAACGTTAATGTCACATGCAATATGGCTATTGTTGCAGCGTACTTACCGCAGAATTGTTGAAATATCTACAGAAATACACACAGCAATTTTAAGACTTCACCAAGAGAGAGTGGTGCTGAAATGATTACCGGAACTTATTTGGAAAGTTAGGTTAGTATTACTTGGTTGTCAAGAGTATCGGTAGACTTTTATCTGCTAGTGAGTGTGCTAAGTGACAAAGAATGCATTCTTGATTGTTTATATTTGTATAATAATGCCATGGTCTCTGCGATTAGGATTGTAATAACTTAACTGACCTACTGAAGTTAACTATATATTCCAGAGTCAGATTTCCCGTAAGGTTTGTTACAACCATTTCGTGTGGACTTGGTTACCTCTCCAATGAAATTTTAAATTGTTAATAGATGTAAAAGTAAAGTAAAGTCGTCCCACTATGCGCCATGTAGGCTCTTTGGGGGAGAGGAACTATACCACCTCTCCCGCCAAGCGCCTACATGGCGCATAGTGGGACGGCTTTACTTTTACTTGTTAATAGATGAGCCATTTAAAAGTTGCCAGTCATTGTTTCCCTGTGACGACTTTGTTTTGTAAGATTGTTTATTTCTGATGACTGGCAAACAATGCAAATGAACTGGTGATGTCAACATTGCTTTGACCAGTAGTGTTTTTTGGTGGAATACATACAATGACAAAGCAGGCAATACCTTTATATTGCTTTGTCAGTATATAATTGTGGTCAACATATTTAACTTTACTGTTATTTGATGCATTAAATGTAATATTGCCACCACAGGCACTAATTTTCAATCCCTATTTTATGTAATTTAATGATCATCAAAAGTTGACAGTGGAACACGTTTTTACAAGCACAAAATTATCTTGTCTACGACACACTTCTTCTACAAGCGATTCACAGCTCAGCTCTTTCTTGATATCTGGAGTGAGGTGCAGCTGAATATTTATGAAATTTTCAGTACGTTATATGTCAATCAGCCACTTACTTTGTTTTGCTTTTAATCCTCTTCTGTACTTTTATTAACATCCTCACTTCTACCAGGGGCTAACCTCAATCATTTCCTAATGTACCCAACTGAGTAGATCCCTTTTGCATTGGAGGATAGAAACAGGTCCAGTTGAGTAAATTTTATTTGCCCTTCACAGCCAGAGTTTGATTGTGGGTAGTTCAGTAACTGTTTGTACATTCTGAGAAACAAACTTTGCAATAAAATTAATTTATCTTTCCTTTTCTGATAGGTGCTTATGTTTGTGCCATAGCTTAAATCTACAAACAATATCATGGCATAATAGAATTTGTTTCCAGCTCTAGGGCTTAAAGATAATAAAGGATGGATTATGAATATTCTGCATTTAGAAGGGAGACAGATGTACACAATAGATGTTGTGGAGGATGGGTGTGGTGTATTAAGGTAAGGATTTATAGCTAATTTCATGTTTTGAATAAAATGAACATATAATGAATATCTGTCTATCCATGTATTCATTCTCTTAATTACTCACCATATGTCGATGAAATTAGGTATTGTGGGTTTATGGTAAAACCTGTAAAGCAAATGTAATTTTGGTTCATACTGATCTATTATAACCCCTAATTCACAGGAACCTCAAATAAAATTTTATCAGTTTTGTTAAAAATGGTTTACTGTTCAAAAGAGATTTGCAAGTGATATAAAATATGGGTCTCATTATGATCTACAACATTTATATGAAATAAATAATGAAATACAGGTAGAATTTCTTTTCTGTTTGACCATGAGACTCTGACTTTGTAAGTGGTTAGCCTCATCTTGATCTGTCACATCTGTGCTACAGCAGATGCTGAAAATGTTGTGCTCCTGACCAAATGCACTCATTGTACCTGCAGAACACAATGGTGTTCACTCTGTAAAATCATCAAATCAAGATGTAAGGACCATATTTACAGAGAGAGGAATTGAAGGCGTATGTTCAATCAGTATTTTTTTTTGTCCCACTAAATAGTCTAGGATTATAAAGATTAAATGTACATTTATCTCTCTACCTAAACAGTGTATCATAAAGGCAATAAGGAGTTCAGCATTCAGTGGAGGTGATCATGATCTGTCCATTTTACTTCAGGGGACAAATGTCTGTATCATTGGATAGGAGGATTGATGGTTGCATGGTACATATTCAACATGATAGCAGA